TGTTTGTTTATTATACCACTCTAAGGCCCCTTCCAACTCAAAAATTGTATGTTGCTTCTACCTACAAAATATATAAAGCAGTTGAAAGAACTTAGTTTCTTGTTACAAAATACAAAATTGAGAAATGGAGTCCAGTGGGATTATTTGCTGGCAATGTGGTCAGAATAATTCAGAATTTAGCTCTCTGCCCTTTGGCTAATACTCTATCTTTAGCTAAAATGGGAAAGAAATATCTGGATGTAAGGCTGTATTTTTCACTTTGGATATTCAGCACCAGTTCTTAAGTCAATTGCTTCTCCAGTGCCCTGACTACTTTCTGTGAAATGGGGATAATGACAATTAGATGATATTGAATCCATCACCACATGCAACTTTGATTGGGATGAAAGTCTCTGTATAAATACTAGGTGTTCTTGTTTTTAATTAGTCATTATTATCAGGTACTCTGATTCATTGTTACAGAAACTTAATTTCTGGTTGTATTATCTCCTCTGGTGCAGCTCTTTTAAAATGATGTCTTGGACATTAAGTTATGCTGTTCCCAAGCCACTCATAATCTAAGGGGATCTCAGATTTTTCTGCCAGCTTGTTTTCCCCTCCTACATCTTTCTGAAATAAAAAATGAAGATGGAAAAAGGAAGCAATGTGTAGTACCTCTGATCCTACTTTCTGCTGCAGTGACAAGGTGGAGGCATGAAATATGAAAAGCACCCCCAAGGCTCAGATTATGATTTAATTAATTTATATGGCATTGTTTCATCAGTTCCAGAGAGAACATTCATTTTGTTCAGGTTCTGGGAAAACTGGGTGGTGGTGGGAGTGCAGTTTTAAGTCAGGAGATCAGGATTGTAGCACAGATGCCCCCACTAACTAGTTGTCTAATCCTTAACAAGTGACTTGGTCTTTCCAGGCTCATTTTCCTCATCTGTCAAGTCAGATGAAGGTTATGGAATAGATGATCTCTAAAAATGCTTCCATCTCTACAGTTCTATTCTGGGTCTGTATGCACCTGCAGACATCGATGTGGGATCGGGAAGGGTACCAGGGAGGGATGCACATTTAGTCAAGTTCATAAAACACTTTTACCTGGAGCAGCCCTGTGTCCTCATGTGTTGTGTAGACAGGCTTGTCTCAGATTTTCCAAATAAATGACTGGATTCTCTCCTTTCATTGCCAATGGACACACAGCTTTAGTTTTTTCTGGGAGCAGCAGCTGCTTTTCTGAAATTTCCATCCTAGGGCTTCCATCTCCACTCTGTCCTCTCAGAAACCTGTCATGGTTTTTCTGGATGGATGCCCATAGAATTTTAATCCAGTCACAAAAAAGTACTATGTATAACATAAAGCAAAACCAGCTTATGGGTTGTCTGTTTCTTTACTGAATTTGTTTACTTCAAGGGCTTGGAACATAGAGGGCCATCGTTCGACAGCACCATTTGTGCTGCCAGCCCAGAGCCATGGCCAGGACCAATGAGTTCCCTTAGTTAAGGATTTGTCCTTGAAGATGTGGAGAGAAGGCCTATATGATTTAGTGGCCACCCTGGGTCCTGCCCCAGGTCCTGACACTTCCTGACTCTTGGTAACTGGCTGCTTAATTAAACTGGTTGTTTCTCCATAATGTCCCATTTTCTTCCCTTCCCCAATAAGTATTTGCATTCCCAGTAAGGGGCGGGGGTGGGGGGAACTCCCTGTCCTCAGGAAGCTTAGCAACTTAAGCTCTCCTAATTTAAGCTAACTTTAAAAGGTGTAGTTCTCCAACTTTAACTTGTGGAAAATTCCCCTGGGGAGGCAGCCAGAAATGCACATTCCAGGACCTTGCTCGTAGACGTTCATTCAGTAGGTTTGGAGCCAATAAGACTGCATTTTATTCAGTCCAGGGCAGCTTGATGTAGGAGGGTGACAGACTACTAAGAAAGGCTCATGGCTAGAAAAACACAGCATTATCAGAAACAAGAATTTCATGTTTGCATTTGTATTTCTTGCTGTCTGGATAAAATTCATCTAAGTTGATGCCTAATACTCAGGATTCTTGGCATTAACATTAAGGTCCTTGCTCTGTATCTCTGACACACATCACCAACACTGGCAGATTCTGAAAACTTAAAACAGGCATATTAGTGCCTCCCTGGCCAAGAGGTTAAAGAAATGAGTTTATGCACCCGGTAACTGACTGCTCAGTAAATAGCTGCCACTTATAACAATATATGCCACTATTATCCCCTACAAGACGGGGGAGGGCAAGAGTGTCCGAGGCCCAACTTCAAATCGGTATCTGGGATTTGGCCACAGTTGGGCGTATCCTCTGGTGCGGGGGAAACGTGGCCATGGATCTCCTGGGCCACCACCCCGGGACAGCCACCGGGGCGTCCTTACTACAGGTAGCAGTTCGTTGCTTGGCTGGTTCACCCTCCTAGACCTAAAATAAGAGGCGGTGGGTTGGGCGTTTTTATTTTTAAAGACTTCCCTCTGGGCCTTTGACCCGGCACCGCAGGTATAAGCATGGATTTTGCGGGCCGTGAAGCTGGGTGCGGCCAGGGACGATCCCTGCGATCTTGGACTCTCCGTGGCCGGGAGGTCTCCGGAGGGAATAAAGAGGCCCCCAATCTTCCTGGGGATCCGGAGCGGTTGGGGTGGGACCCCTGGCCAGAGCCAGCTGTCGGGGAGCTCGAGGCCCACCCTCCAGGTGGCGGGGAAGGGTTGGTGGTCAGGGATTTGGGGCCTCACATCTCTCTGCCCGCGGAGGCCCCAGTAACTGGCTCTGGTTGAGCGCTGCAGGTAAACAAGGGCCCCATCCACCGCCCAAATCCTCAACAGGAGGACCCGAATCCCAGGGACCAGCACTGGCAACGCGGTAGCGGGAGACCCCGCGCCGGCGCCCCGCGTTGGCTCGGCCAGCGAGCCAGTGAAGCCTCCGGGGCCTCGGAGCGCCAACCTGGGCGTTTGAGCTTTGCGGCAAGTCACTGCAGAGTTGGCTGGATTTTGTCCCAAGCCCACGCCACATCTTCAGGACAGGACGGCCGCAAGGACCCCTCCCCCCCTCCACTCCCACCCGTCCCTACCGGACGGCCCCGGGAGAGCCGGGACTCAAAGGCACTTTCCACCCCGAGGCCCAGTTGGCGTGGGATTTGGAGGGCCGCCGCCCGTGCCGAGGAGGACTGACTGACCACCGGCCCGCTGGGGACCCGGGAAGCCCGCCGCCCTGCGGAGAGTAGCTCGGGACAATCGCGTGCTCACTCACACACACACACACACACACACACACACACACACACGTACACACAACCCCCAACCAATGAAATAAAGTAAAAGCCCAAGGTCTGCCTCTGTGGACAGAGGCGCCCCCCGGAACCGGACCGAGCGTGGGTTCTCCCTGGGGGCCAGAGGGGCTGGGGGAGGAAGGGGGAGGGGGAGAGAGCGAAGGAGCCGGCCGAGGGCCCCTCATCATCTCCGCCCCCAATGCTTGCTGGAGTCCGGCTGGGGGAAGGCGGCGGCGGCGGCGGGAGGGAGCGGCGGGCAGAGCCCCTCCGATCCCACCGCACACACTCTTACCCCTTTCCCTCCCCTCCCTCCTCCCCTCCCCCTCTCCCACCGGCTCGCC